CCTTCTACCGGAACAGGCTGATTGTTGAAACCGTAGATAGGACCATCATACTTCTGCAACAACGCTGGATCTAATCCCAGACTCTCGAAACAGTGGAAGTACATGATGTCTGGTGCACTCCCGGTGTCAACAAGGACACGTTGTACTTCACAGTTGTTGATCATGACAGAAGTGACCAGAGGATCATTGTGGGGTGTAACAACTGTGTCGAGGTCAGCAGATGTGAAAGTAATGGGTTGATTCTTCCATTTAGCATCGTCAATCTTTCGCTTCTAAGCTCAGTTTTGGTGTTTAACCTCTCTAACATACAGCTTTCGCTGTTTAGAGCTCAGTCCACCTGCTTCAAGGCCTCCCGTAATCATATGTATGATTCTAGACGGCGGTGGGAGCGGAGGTGGGGCTTGTTGATATCCCACACCTTGTCTATTCGGGGGATTGCGGACTCCTTGAGGCTGCGGCCTCTACTCTCTGACAAATCGCGGTTGTTTAGCTCTCTGCACATACTCATTCAGCATTCCCTTCTGAGCTAAACTTTCCAGTTCGAACTTTAAGCTGTTGCACTGCTCTGTAGTATGGCCGTGATCTTGATGAAAATCACAATATTTAGTGTGGTCTCGACTAGCAGCAGTAGTTCGCATTAGGCCAGGACGTCTCAAGTCCATCTTATTTTTTATCTGCATAAAAATTTGTGACCTCGGCAAATTAAATGGAGTCCAATTAACTGGAGGTTTACCTGCAGATTGTTGTGGGGGCGTGGAGTTCGGTCTTCCGAATCTCGGTGGGGGGGTCAACATCGGACCTCGGACCTGTCCGATCTTCATCCTTTTTCGGCTCGGATTGTCATCTCTCCATTCTGGGTTCTGGTTCTTAGAGGGGGGTGGGTTTTGTGCCAGGGCATACTCCTCAGCGGTTATAAACTTGAGAGACCGATCATTCACCTCGCTAAAGGTGGTGGCAGCATGTTTGATCAAACTGTCTCTAAATCTGTCATGCTTGAGACTAGCGATCACAGCTGCTATTCCCACGGCTTGATCAAAAGAACTAACCTCCAAAACTGCATCATTAAATCTGCTCATATAGTTCTTTAAAGATTCTCCATCCCTCTGTTTAACTCTCATCAATTAAGAAGTAGTTTTCCTAATCAACCTTCTACTAGAAAACTTAGTGGCAAAGGCAGATGCCATTTCTGTATACGAGCTAAT